GGAGCGGTGTCCCCGTGCAGTGCGGTGCCGCAGTGGAAGGAGCAGGGCCGGTACCGAGAGGAGCCCCCGCGCGTGCGGGTCCGGCCGGCCCCGGAGCCGGCTCCATGCCCCGAGGCCGGGAAAGAGCCGAGGAGCCCGCGCTCCCGCATTGGAGAAGGGGCCGGGCAGGTGCCTCTCGCGGCGTTTGTCTTTGCAGATCCCAAACGCGAGATGCCGCCGGTGCTGATGGAAGAGTTTTAGGAGGGAGATGATGACAGGCTGATGAAAACCAATCAAACAATGAAGTAATCATAAATCCCCGGTGCCAGCGGCAAGGCTCGGAGGACGCGGGAGGAGCTGGAGGATGAAGTAGCGGAGGTACTAACAAAGCTGTGCCATTGATCCTGAAAATCCTGGGAAGGCAAAGCGCTGAAAGGCAGCCAATGTCCCATCATCCGGTTTTGTTCTTTTTCTTTTTTAATTAAAAAAAAAGGAGAAAAGGAGCTATGCTAAACCCTGAGCTTGGAAATGAGGGCAGGGAAAATGGGAACAAAAGCTGCAGGCGAGCGGCGTGCAGGGCCGTGAGGAGGCTGTCACAGGAGAGGAGAGGAGAGGAGGGCTGCGCCCTGCCTCGGGGAGCCCCGCACCAGAGCGGCCGATGCAATTGCTCTGCCCCAAATTTTTCAGAGGGGCCGTCAATGAGACCTGAGACAGCGGCTGAAGCTGAAGAAGCCTTTGTAGCTGACAAGAGGTGGGTTTCTCGCCAAAGGGGATCTACGGATGGGCGTAACGGGGCCAAACTCTGCCCCGCAGCTGGGGAGCTCCGGGATCCGCTCGCAGCTGGGAGCGCGCCCGCCTCTGCGCCCGCCCAGAGCAGCCTGTCCTCATTTCACGTTTGATTCTGGGCCGTCTGCACTGGCCAGGCCAGAAGCTGCTGTGAGAAACTCTGGATGCTGGGCAGGGCAGTGACGATCTCCACGCTGAGAGGTGTCAGAGGGGTCCCTGCCATCCTCTGCCCGCTGTGGGGCACCTGCAGCACGGGGTAAGCACTGGCATTGCGGAGGAGCTGCTGCCTTTTGGGCTGCTGTGGTGCCGGGTGCTGCAAGTGCCGCTCAAGCGCTTCCTGGCGCCTTCGCTTCATAACGGAACCGATGAGAGAAGAAAAACCTGCACCTCTTGGAAGATCCTTGAAACACGCTGTGTTTCGTGGGGGAGCTGGCAGGTCCCTGCTGTGGGATGCTCAAGGGCGACGCGATGCTGAAACACAGCAGCGCTCTGGCCACGGAGAAGTGGGTCATGGACTGCGACGCGGGCACTGTGAAGCCTCCAGGCAACGGGGCTCCAGCTCTGGGCCTGTGACCTCTCGTGCAGCTTGGTGAAGCTGTGGCTGATTTACCTCAGTCTGGCCGTCACGGGAGCCTCAGCAAAGAGTGTGCACCTTGTGACACAGGATTTTCAAGGACATTTGCCCCAAATGTTCAGGTCATTGTTTGGGGCAAGGAAGAAGCGCTGCTCCGTGAGAAGCAAGAGGCTGGGGAGGTTCTGCCTTGCTCCTGGCTGCCGCACGTGGTGGCAGCTCCTTGCCCTGTGCAGGGAGACGCACGACAGGGTGTCCCCAGGCCAGCGCCCAGCAGCAGCGGCTGAGGCCTGGGGTGCCGCCCCGCGCTGGGGCTCCCCGGCAGCTGCGCAGGGTGTTCGCGTGGGCTTGGGTGGCGCCGTTGCTGCGTGCGCCGTTTCCTTGAGTTATCCCCGACTCCAGCAAAAGCCGCCAAGCCGCTCGGCGCAGCCGGGAGGGGGAAATGGTGGCAAGTGCAGCGGGGCCCAGGCAGGCGGGTCCTCGTCCCCGGGCGCAGGGCCGTGGTGAAGGTGCCTTTGGGAAGCTCCATGGCTGCTGACGTGGCGGCAGCACCGGGAAGCGCTGCTGGCGGCTCTGCTG